TTTTCGTATTTTCCACTACTCTTACTATTGATTAAGCATTTGTGAAAGAAATAAAGGAAATGTAATATTCATGATACTCAATTTTTATTAGTGGATCATCATTATCAGTTGTTTATGCATATCAGAGTACACAAGAAAAAAAGATAATGCATATGCAAAAAAATACAGGACAACACTTACTTATTGCTAAACACAAACAATAAACATGTAAATAGACTCATGAATATTCATTGTCTGTTCTTCGCACGCTCTATGTCATTGCTATGACAGTCTTACAGTCTTACGTAGAGAGAGGCAAAATATATGGGAGAGCTACACCTAACATGACTGTTGGTATTATCAAAACTCTTCAGAAGTAAGACCTCAACGATAACTTCATAAGAAATGCTTTGCCCGTGCCGCCCACTCTTGATTTTTAGACTACGGTAGTAATACAAGACTTAGGTTACAAAATATAAACAAACATCCTAGATTGACAGACCCATTTGCAGAGTCAGGCCAGATCTTATGAGGTCTGGGTGAAGTATTGTAAGGAGAAAGGTCATAAAAACCGCCTATTTTGTCTGACGAAACTCATGGAAATAACAGCAAGTATGGAGAGGTTGCTGGAGGCATACGTTTATTAAACCCTTAAATATAATGCAAATCTGAATCAGTTATAATCAGAATATACGTTGGATCAAAATCTGTAAAAATTGGACAACAAAAAATTAAGAAGAGCTATACCAAACGGCATTATAGGTCATAGATATTAAACTCCAGAACGTTCTAACTAATCTCTTTATATTCCTAGTTATTTCAACATGATTCCGTGTTAAATTTGGTTATCAACATATAGTCAAAGCTTAAATAGCAAATAGGTTAGGCTACTTACAAAATTCAATGACATGCAAGGATAGTTAAAAACAATCGCTACTGCAATTTCGGTAAATAAAAAGCGGACGTAAAAATATCCTTTTTCTGCTCGCCCATTGTCCGCCATCGTTTACAACTTGGTATCGATTTAGCATTGATAAATATATATTTCATTTATTTATTTAGCAATCTATCGCAGAAATGTTTCTGTTTAAATCAATTCAGTTTCGACTTTCAGCATTGATATGAATTACTCATAAGCTTTAGTATTTGGAGAATATGCGTGGGTAGATTCGATCTATCGCCGACAGAAATTGAGGTATTACACCGTTGGACAGTGAAATTACTGACAAAGTTTTGTGGTATGAGGTTTGTGTAACATGAGACGAGATCAATGATTTCCTGTAAAAGCATGGATGGGTCTGGGTGGTCTTGCTTTACAGCGTAATTAATCAGATGAATATGCAATTAGTGCCAAACATACTGTCATAACGTGACGATAAACGATTATATAACGGCTTTAATTCTTACGTTACGATACGTATGATATAAAGCATACTATCAACTTAACTCATGTATATTAGATGAATTGGCTTAGCACCCAAGCTAAAACTGTATCCTGAGTTATGTGTTAGCAAACCCATTGTAATAAGATACAACTCTGTTAATAGAAATAAAGGAGAGGAAGATTGTGTAATTTTTATTTGTTTTGTGATCATTTGACATATGAAATTGACAAGTGTAATGATAACAAATGAGCCGTTAAGAAATTGGAGTGACATTTAATCATACATATTTTGATTCTTTCCAATATATAGCGCTAGTCAAAGCATTAAAAGCGATATGTTTACTAAAGGCTGCCCGTTGGTAAAGTATAACATCAAATTATCAACATTCTTTCCTACTGATAACGATTTTAGCTGAGGGTGCTTTCAAGCAAGGGAAAACTCTGCTTTCTTATCGACTATAATTTCCCTGGCATTGCATTAATACAATCTCTGTTGTGCGATTATACAACAGTCAAAGAACCATGGAAAAAATTTCGACTTCTCCAAATTTTGACTCAAACTAAATAAGGTTGACGATATCAGTTTCCTGGCGTTGATTTCGGTTGAACGATGTACAGGCCACGATAGCACGGAACATCGTGATACCAACAACGAAATTTTGTATGTTATATGAAAATAATTTCTCTTTACTCCTTCTATTGTTTATTCATCCCAACAACAAAACAATAACAACTCCAATCAAATAAATTCGTACTTACGTCGCTACGTCCCGCACACGTGTCCACTACCTAAAGTGATTGCGAGACAATGAATTTCAAATGCATTACTAATTTCTACTGAGGTTGAAACAACGAATTATCAACCGGCAGAGATTGTATTTCTCAAAGGTTACATAATACTTAATTTGTAACATCATATTCACATCTTAATTTGACATTGATTTGAGATATTACATCTTAAAAGAGAGTTAAAAGTGTTTCCTGGAAATAATTGATAGCATTTCAGCATAAAACGATGTTGATATAATGTTTTCCCTAAGTGGTAATATAATAATCAGTCACATATCCGGAAGGTCACAATGATCCTACAAGGAAAGATAATAAATTGCAGTTTATTACAAACCTCAATAATTACTCTACATACATATTTCATTGCAATATTGCATGCTTTGTCTCATTACTTCTGCTACAAGCGTTTAAGTGTTGATTAATTCTTGCCATCAGCGGAAATGATCTTCTGTACAAATAAATAAATTCAGAACTACATGTTAACGGCTGTCGTTATTGATGTTACATAACAGCTAGATCAGTGAATACGTTATCGTTGACGTAGTTTCGTAATTAGGTCATAATTTAAAAGAACGTATACCTGTATACAACATGAATAATTCAAACAACACTGACTTGTATACCTATAAAACAGACACGCATGCCTGCATGCTGTTTTACTGAGTAGAAAGCAAACGGACGTTTAAATAATACATTTAAGCTGATATGCATCGGAATACTACCTTTTTGGAAAAACATCATTTTCTTTAGAGCAACTCAATTGGAATTGTTCTTATATCTCCATAATATTTATATTGCTAATTTCAAGAAGCATGGTTTGGGAATAGGTCAAAAGGCCGACATTCAGACGGAACGCTGCAACTGGTGTTAACGCTGGATTTGTTTACGAAACAGCGGCTATATCTTCAGACGTCTGAGCATCGCTGACTAAGCAAACACGACAACGTGCTTTGACATGAGTTGTACAAAGGTCAGGACGTAATTTTCTTACGTATTTGCGTTGCAAGGGACTGGGAATAAAAACCCGGGGTATTCATCCCATTTTAATTATACGGGTCTCATGCCGATCGATCAAGATGTCCTTTTTTCATACTGTAGGGAATATGGATATGGACTTCAATATACAAGTCATTTTATGATTCATTGAAATATCCCAGAACAAAATAGGCACTGTAATGTACGGCAGTCTGCAAAATATTGATATCCTGTTTCAAATACGTATATGCAAATGTAGATGTATGTCTACTATTTGCTTGTGTATTTTAATGGATTTCGATAAACACCATATACCACTGAAGCCAACATAAGTTACGCCATGTCTAAATCTTTTTTGTTTCTAATTACATTATTAGAGCTTTCTATAAAAGTTGTTTTTTCGCTACAGGCCATGCATATAGGACGTTAGAGGTGAAATCGACAGTTCACAATTACATAATCGTACGAGGCAACTAATCTGGTGATCCTTTCCAGTCTCTCTTCACACTACCTCACATTTGGTTTGATTTTAGTGTCTGCACAAGAGTTGATGGCTACGAATTCTCGGTGTTAGGTGTAAGATATTCAGTCTGATGGCGCTATAAGAAAGGAGTCGTCAATGGACTCAGCATTTATGGTGCTGTCATTATATGACTTTGACTGTTATGAGGACGTAACTTCCATTCCCCCACACCCCCATCGCTCTCCAAAAATGTCTCGTTACACTACTTCAGTAAATGATTACCGTTTAAGTTAATTGACTCACAGAGACAAACTGTAAATGTCATTTTTTATGTTCGCAAGAATAACGTTTGTTTCTTCTTCGGTCTACGAATACTGTTATCTCGCGTACTTGAATGGCAGTATATGTTCCTTCACATGTCATAGATTTTACAAAAGAAATACAAGTCTTTCAAATCTTTCGATAAAAAAATTAGTAGAATTAGATACAAGAGTGTCAATAAAGGAATTAATTTACATCACGAAGCTGTTTGCCAGCATCTGTCTAATAGCTACCTGTCGATCATTTCATTTTTATAAATTATACTGACTTCCTAATTCATGACTTTTTGCCTTAGTTTTTTATACATCAAAACACTATTCGAAATCATTAAATGATTAGAGGGAATTATTTTTTATGGTTTATATATTGTATTGTTAAGGTAATTTTACAGCATTGTATAGCAATGACAGTCCAGTCTTTCTTCAACATAGTCTTTTTCTCCTTGTACTTTTTCACGAATTTGCTTGTGAAGCTTTCTTTTGTTCATTGCAAGTTATATTCATTTTGAGTTTAGATTATGACTATTTCTAAAGTCAGTATTTTCCTGTGTTATTGATGATGCTAAGATATTTTTCTTAACCTTAACAGATTTACTATCGATCTAAAACAATTTTCATAAATCTTACAGAGATATAACAATATTGCACTTGATCTGATTCTTTTAGAATTTAAGGATGTTTTTAAAGCATTAATGTTGATAGTATTGCAAATTATTATTGTTACTTGAAGACCGCTGGAGCTTTAGCTGTACTATAATCCAACCAATCTTTTCATAGCACTCATCCCTGATTTTTTTTTTTTTTTTTTTGAGAGAGGGACTATTTTCTTGCATTGCCTCATTCATGTATACATAAAAACGTCAATGTAAGACATGTTCTTTTAACACCGTCATCTTAATATTTGTTTCTAAGAAAGGTTTCATGCTCCACGAGATTGCTGTGAGCAAGGAGTATACACGGAAATGAACCAATTTTTCCCGAACACTAATTATATTGATAGTAATCAATTAGCTGCGAAGATGAAAAACCACATTTCAATAAAAACTGGAAATATCATCATACCTCTCACCAACTCATTTTAATGTTCTAGGTATGACATCGACAACAATCCCGATGTACTTGGCTGAATGTTCTCCAGTTCATATTCGAGGTCGACTTGTGTCAACAAATATTGCTATGGTTGCTTGTGGACAATTCGTAGCAAATGTCGTCGACGGCATCTTTGGATGGGATGAATCGACAGGATGGAGGTATTTTAAAGCAACAAATAAGTTTTCCTGATGCTCAAATTTCGTGGCTTTCCAAAATATATATAATTTCATGGTTACGTCTTGTTCATGAAATCCACCAGTGCTATATTGTCAGTTTTTATTCGTTTATTATAAATGAATTAAATCATGGATTCAACGAAAATAAATACCCCACGAGAATTAATGGTTTTACAAAAGTCGATATCTATTTAGTCGTTTCTTTTTAATAAGCAGTTTTATGTACTTGTACTAATGACATTATCCCCATGCTGTATTGTATATGTTTTGGTTTTGTTTATGGTAGGTATATGCTAGGTCTTGCTGGTATCCCGTCATTCCTGCAGTTCCTCGGTTTTATAATGATGCCCGAGAGTCCTAGATGGCTCATTATCAACCACAAGGACGAGCGGGCACGGAGAGTGCTACAGACAATGAGGGGACAACTGGACATTGAAGAAGAATACGAGTCAATCAAAAGCAGCTGTCAGGAAACAGAAGTGGAGGAACAAAAACGATGTAGGCATACTTTGTTTTGATCATTTGTCTATTTCTTCATAGGTTAACTACATCAGCGGCAACAAAGTCTACGCGTTTATGTAGATATTCCGATTCTATGTATAATTAAACAGATCTTTCCGGCGTTAATCTAATGAAACTGTTTAATCACTTGTTCTTTTGCAATATGAACCAATACTTTCAAATAGAATTTTTCAAACTTATCTTTTATCATTTCTTTATACTGATATCCATATAAAATCATTAATTGAACTTAATCATCTCTGCGCAAGTAAAGGATGATCGAGTGGCGCATTGGTAATGCACTCGTCTCTCAACAAGACGTCCAGGGTTCGATTCTCCGAACGGATGTAAAACGGTATGTGGTCACCTACCCGACCACATGGGTTTTCCCCGGGCAATGCGTTTTCCTCTCACAGTAAAACGCCTCTCGCAATTCAATCTGTTCCAACAAACCTGATTAGTATCAGCTAGAAAAACGTTCATACAAAATCAGCTTAAACGAAAGCTTAAAGCAGTGTGCAAAACAGTGTCAGATGAGGTGTTTAACAATGAAAGAGAAGATGATACATCAAAAAATTATTTCTTTAGTTATATCATAGAACTATGAATAAAACCTGTAATATTAATATGATAAGAAATATTGATCTATAAGGTAACTTCAGAATATTAATTTTGATTTAATGAAACTTGATAGTCTGTGCTATATTTCGAATGTCCCCTGAGTACGTGTCTAACAAACTTATTTCACCTTATCAGTAAGACTCACAATGCATTCCTCGTTCCTTATATCCCTGTACATAAAGCCGCCCCTTCTTTTCAGAACATTACAATTCTTTTGAGGTATTAAGATATATAGGACGACTGCTTCATCGATTGTAGATTGAAATAATGGTTAATACGATGCTGCCCTTCTTTATTCAGCATTACTTGATCATGTCTGTTCTTAATAAAGGACACCGTATTTGATATTTCATGATATTTTGGAATTTTATTCTTAAATCACAAAGGCATGCCTTTGATACATTGTACGTGAAGATGACACAATGAACTTTCGATTGATTTTCACGTCAACAAAGCACTGAACCATGTGATGATATTGATAGTCAATATAACAAGAAACAGATTTAAACTTGTCTGTAATAAGGAAAGCAAGTTGATCTCTTAGATCCTAGATCGATAGATAATACTACTTGATAATATCCCAGTTTAATGATTATACTGCATTAAACGCCATCTGTTTCTAATCATATCAAGTATTCGCAAATCTGTAATAAAACAATAATTCAATAATTACGCTGACATGAAAAATCGTAATAGAATCATGATTAGCTGCTATTTTAGCTCCACTTTTGTCAATATCAGTATGTAGCTTCCCCTAATATGCACTTATACATAGACTCTGGCAATCGCTATTGACATAGCAACGGAAGTTCATTTGTATGACAGGTGAATAACAGCTGTGTCTGGCTTCACTGTCACTAAAAACCCTATCATTTACCAGAAAATTGATATAAAGTCTTAACCTTCAATCAAATTTAAACGAATTCGGCATTTTCTGCAAGAATTCCGACACTTTTCAGTTCTGGGATCAATATGGAATCTGAAATAATTCGTCTCATACATGTAAAGTCTTTGATAACGTCGATTCCGATTTAACGAATTCCCCGGAGCGATAGAATTTAACAGAAATCATCTTTCTTCCAGCAAAGATGCCTATCATTATCCAAATGATACAAACACCATCCATCCGACGGGCTCTGATCGTGGGATGCAGTTTACAGCTGTTTCAGCAGGTCGCTGGAATCAATACAGTTATGTAAGTATCAGAGTCGTCATTTGAGACAAAACCAAACTAAAACTTTGCACCACTCCGAATATAAAGTTATTTTAACATGAAAACATTGCCTTGTTTTATTGAAGTTTTATACAAATCATGGCAATTAATATGTAAATTTTGACACCTCGATATTTTTTTATTTCGCGATGCTATTTATTTATCTGAATTACTTTCACTTATGTGTTTTTGTACAAAGTTTAAAATTACCAGAGATTACCGGGGTAGAATATGATGCTTTGCATGCCATGGTTTAAATAATTTTAAGGTTCCGAGTGCAAAGATTAAATTAATTCAATATTTGAACTTTTGATTTTATTTGATAATTTTCTTTCGTCGCACGTTTTTATTGTAGGCTAAGAACATCACTCGCGAGTCCTGGAAGGATAAAATCTAATTGACTTTACTTATCTTATTTAAATTTCGTATGGACACATGGTATCCACTTGTGTCTTTTGTACACGTATTAAAAGTCATTATAATTATTCTATTATATATAATTATACAGTTTATAAAAAAATCTATCTTTAAAAAATATTGTGTAAAGTGTTTCCGTGTCCAAGATCTTATATGAAAAAACAACGAAAGTAATTTCTTTTATTTTCCTAACCCTACCGGTAAAATAGTAATTCAATTTAACATAATTTTATTAGTTTCGCCTAAAACAATTATTTCTGTGATGCAATTACATTGAAGTGTTATTAACTTTCTCCATAAACAGGTATTACAGTGCTACAATCATACGGATGTCGGGAGTGAAGGGAGACGAAACGGCTATTTGGCTGTCTGCTGTTACTTCTTTCGTCAATTTTGTTTTCACCATTCTTGGTTTATACTTGGTTGAAAAAATTGGAAGACGTGCTCTAACGCTTGGCAGTCTGATAGGTAAGAATAGGTGAAGCTATCGTTATCATTACATGTATGATAACGTTATTTGTTACTGCTTGACCTATTCGTCTGCAGACAACTAGTTTATTTCTCGACTAATGCGTTCACAAATATACCTAAAAGCTTTTCATCTTTTTAAAGTGGTTTTGGTATATGCTGTAACTTAATTTTGGAAAGATTTTTACTTCGTTCATAGTACCTTGAAAGGATTTTTTTTATCACCGTGCATCATTAATGGAAATCGATTAAAACCGCGTATAGTTTTCCTTGCAATATTCTTGTTTTAAAGTGTTTGCGATTGTATATTTACAATTACGAGGTGTTTTCATTTTTGTTTGATTGTGCGCCACAGGCTCGATAAGTGGCATGCTATTCAACCAAGTGTGCAATTTGGCTAAATATATTAGTATTGTCATTTGATTTGTTGGTACTGTCATTCTGCTTTAACCAAATATTAACAGTTAGGCTTTGTCTCTGTTTATCTTTGTTCATGCAATAATTGTGTACTTCTTATAAAGGTGCTGTTATAAGCTTAGCTTGGCTGGCCATTGGTTTCCATCTCTCAGCTCTCTACACACCAGCTGTTACTAATATAGAAAGTGTATCGGCCAAATCTCCTTGTTCAACACTAACGTAAGTCTTTAGTGATTTTCCAAGCAATTACAAGATATCCATGCATGCTTGTCGTTTGTGATATATAACCTTTCTCCAATGCCTGTTCCAGTTTTTGTTTATTATTATTAAATCATTTTCTATTTATAGAACCTGTAATCAGTGTATGAGAGCTCTGGAGTGCGGATATTGTTATTTAGACAATATAAGAGGACCATTAAATAGTTCCTGTTTACCGACCGACTACGAGGATCCTTGGCAATCTACAATTGGTCGATGTAATACAACATCTTTGGCTGGAAACCTAACATGGGCGTATGACTACTGTCCGACTGATTACTCATGGATGCCAATGGCGGGATTAGTTCTCTATCTTATATTCTTTGCACCCGGTAAGACATGCATAAAGAACACTTTTCTTCGTTATGTTTAGATAAACGTTTGGTTCACTTTCGAAGGAGACTATGGAAGCATATTTCGTAAGAGACGAAAAAAAGACACCCAACGGTGAACAAAATTCCAATATTTCAAAATAAATTGTGTACAAGATAAACTATGCTGAATAATTTATTAAAGTGCACAATGCACTATCACAGTTTTCTATTGCGATTTCTTGATACCAGGAATTAGAGATATGGAAAGTTAAGAAGTTAAGAATTTAATTATTAGAATTAGCACAAGTACTACTAAATTGAAGGTGCGTCCACCAGCAAAGACTTTTCAATTCGATATTTTCAGATTAACTAAATACTGTATGTTATCCTAGCAAACCTCAGGAATTCGCAAAACTGTCTTTAGCGCACAGCTTCATATTTTGTCAGCTTTTTACTTGTAAATATTACAATATCGTGAATTTGATTTCATGTCATATCGTACATGCTTTCTTCGGTTATATTTACAGGTATGGGACCCATGCCATGGACTATAAATTCCGAAATATATCCTTTATGGGCAAGAAGCACTGGAAATGCTGCTTCAACATTTACAAACTGGATATTTAATCTTGCCGTCTCTATGTCTTTTATAAGCCTTACCGAAACGTTAACGAGACAGGGTATGTACTCTTATATCTCTATATATATACATCCCTGTTAACAGGACAGTTTATGCTTAAGCAATAACTGCCTTTCGTGTTAGATCCAAAACCGAAGTTTATCTCGTATTGTAGTCACGCCAGTCACGTGAATTTTCTATGTGATTAGCCATAGGCATTCCAAGTTTGTTGAATCATTAGGCTGAAGCAAAAAAGAAATTTGAATGTTGATGCATTATTCTCCTATGAATAGATTCCACAACGACAGAAATAAAAAAAAAGTTATCACGTATCAGATGTGTGTTTCTTTAAACCCTTTTAAAATCCGAGGCAGGAAAAAACTTTCTCAGATTTTTTGGTAGTGTTACTGTATAGTCCATCTTTATCTTCATTAAAAAAAACTCAAAACATTTAATACCGGAAGCACTTAAAATTACGATATGTGTTCAATAGTATTCTTGAATTAAGCTTTTTTTAGCCTAACGTAGATTTGTGTTCGATGTGATCATTTTGCCTATCTCAAGTAAATGCATTTGTCGATTAAAGTTTGCATTTTACATGTCAAATGCGATAATCTTTACAGTGACTTGACCACCTCCTTTATCAACAACGGTCGTGTTTCTGTCCATTGTTAGTTCGCCAATCCCATTTTCTGTACTATTGTTTGCCTCATACATAGCATAAATATCATATATGGTTTCGTGAAGCTGTCAAGAGGAAGAATGAAAATGAAACCGATTTATCATTTCTTACAATGGAACATTTTCTCCATGCAATTCTGTAAAGCCCACGGTGTATTGCGAGAAACGTCCCAGTTGATTGATAGCTTACATCCAATGGCGCAAGTGATGCACGGCGTTAATATCTTTGCAAAGTGGTCACGTTGAAATGTTAAGCTGGTGGGACCTGAAAAGTTGTCAAAACAGCATTTTCTAATATCTAGTCTTTGTATACATGGATATTTAAAGTTTAATTGTACTCGGTTTTTATCAGTAACTGCCAGCGTAAAACACTTTGCTGAACATCCTTTTATCCATCAGCATAATATCAATCACACCATTCGAATCATTTTTGTCTGTGTAAAGAAGGATAATGCGTAGATAACATGATGTCTGATAGGATCATATTGGCTGTAAACTTATAGGCACTCGAATATGAATTTCATTAGATATATAAACGTATATAGACCTAAGTTCTTAATGGTGGCAGTGTATTGATTATCATGATGGACTGAAAAATCTTTGCAATGAAGCAACTGGGTGTCATTTCAACTTGATTACAAATATCATTACCATGTTTAAATTCAATGTATTTTTCTTCTGTTTTAAGGAACGTTTTGCCTTTACGCGGGGATGGCGTTAATAGGAGTCATAACGTTAGGCTTTTTGCTACCTGAGACAAAGGGAAAGAGTTTGGAAGAAGTAGAAGGTCTCTTTGCTCAACCATGGTGCAGCGGAGGACAACCGATTAGCTACAACACAAAAACAATTCAATATGTACACATACGTGGTCTTAATAGAGATGGTCGAGAATCTGAATTAGACTCTCCAGAATGATTAAAATTAAGTCAAATGTTTTCATTAGCTACCAGTGTTATTCCTCATTATAAAGTTGTGGTTTTTATCATTTTTATGAAAGCCGAAAAGTTTTGATGGAGTGCTAGTTAATCAATGATCTCCTATTGATGTTTTTTTTTAGAAAATGACTGTTGGTGCATAAATGGCTTGTATTTTCGCTGTCCAGAAGTCCCATTTGTACTTCATTTATAAAGACGGATCATCGCTGAATTTTAATACCTTTTATCATTTAAATTCAAATATTCACACCAATGTATATTATGCCTGTACATTCAATATATAACATATTACGAACAAATACGAACAAAACGTACCCTTTATCGTACCAAATGAAACTTATAAATAACACGAAAGGTAATTATTTTTGCAAAAAACTTTTCATTATGGCACCATTTACGTTTTTATTGGCATGGGTTTTCCTGGCTTAATTTTTTCCCGAAAACTAAAAATTTGTACAATAAGTCAAAAGATAATTGAAATTTGTGTTCACGTTAAACAATTCTGTACTATTTCGTCGCAGAAAACCATTACTTTTAATCCATGAGGTCATTATTTTACCAATAAGATAAGAATAATTTGATTAAAAATGTTATCTCCCTCCGCTGTTACTATTACGTTTTTGTTTGAGAATAATTTCAAATATTGTCCCTTTTGAACTTGTTTTGTTAGTATCATTATATTTTCATTTCTGAAGGGATAAAACGACTCTTATTGAAAATGTGATATGCAATTTATCCGTATTTAGTCTGTAAATGACGGATATTAACAGTCTCATTGCAAGTTGTATATATTATCAAACGATAAATACAAGAAAATACAAATAACGGGAAATTGCTACTCGAATATTCTTAAAATTAACTTTAACTAGAGGGCAAGGAAGGTATTTCTTATCGTGATAGTGTTACCGCCCGTCCGTCATTAAACTATTTTCTTAAAGTAATTTCCGTTCAATAACCAAGAGGCCTAGTCGTGATATAAGTTATAATTATACTCTGATGTAGGGATGTCAAAATGAAATGATTTAGTTTGAATTTAGATTGACTAACTTCCGTTGTCGCAGGTGCTAAATTCGTTACAATAATGGGTTACCAAGAGGATATGGTTTCGTATTTGCCGTAGAACAAGTTGGGATAATGGACAATTTTGTTTTTTTTTTTTTTTAATGAATAACCTTGATCAATTCTCGAGTTCACTCCTGTAAAAAAAGTGTCAGTATCATTTAACTTCTTTTGTATGATGAACAGGTTGGAGCCTTGATAGTTGAAAGTTGTCTTGATATGTGTAAATGTCTGGGTCCTTTACTTTCGAATGCATGACATTTAACCATCATTCAAGGTTTTCACATTCGAACCGGGTCGTGATATTTGGCGAAACGATGAGTGAATAATAGGATATAAGTAACAGACTTTAGTTTATATGATTATAAATTGAAAACATCGTATTTCAATGATATGCCCGACTCCTTTATATAAATATAATGCATTACAATTTAGGTTTGAATTCATATCAACTATATATATCTACATGTTAATTCCGATAGAGTAATAAAAGGTAAAATGAATATAAAAATAATACTAAAACAATTCTAATGTAATCATTGACATTATTATAATCAGTATCATTTACATTTTGATGAATCAAACAGGAACATCACACCATGAAATGAACATGTTTAATGTACTTTCGAAATAATGGAGTGAAGGTGGAGAGTGCAGATATGATTTTATTTTGATTATTTATTTATTTTTTGTTTAAGAAATCCTTAATAACTTCTCAGGACACAGTTTATGATGAAGAGAGATCAAACCAGGTATGGTTAACATGTCTTTTGCCATTTGTTATTTTCAGTTTCACCATCGATCTCTTTAGGGAACCGCAAGCTGTCAGTTTCTGTCTTTATTCGTTTTTGTCTCTTTCTTTGATTCTTCCTCTCTTTCTTTCTTTCTTATAAGTAGCTGTTCTCAACATTTGGATCGTATGCGTTACTGTAATTGGTCTGTGTATTTTACCGTCAGCTTAATAAATGAAGAATTGGTGAAAATATTTACTCTATTGCTTTACTGCCGGTAAAATAAGACTTCAATCTATGTGAAATTAAGCAATAGGTTTAAATGGTCGACTTCACCATTTCAAGTAGATGTCTTTTCAACTTAATGGACATAAACATTCATTACAACATCAAACACAGAAACGTAGTTACCACAGAAACAGATAGTAAAACACTAGGCTTGAAAAAGAAAACGTGCATTTATTGACACACAAAATTCGTTCACGTCCAAAACAAACTCCTTGTATACTTCAATACACAATTGCACAATATCATAAAATCCTAGTCAAATTAAGCGTAGTTTCCATTTGTCTGTACGCATTGATTATTCCAACTCGTATATCATATAGGTTTATGGTGTAGACTTGTTCCATTTGATGGATATGTCTCGTAAGAGTAATTTTTTATCATTCCCGACTAGAGTCTGTGTAGAAGTCTGTCTCATTATATATAACATATTGCAGCTGGAATAAATGCTTTATGGTGCTAAGCCATTATCAACTATTTTTCCTACAAATAATGTGTTCAAAAGTCAAGGGCTCTACTGATGCTTTAAATTTATAACAAAACAATCAGTGTGGATACAATGAATTGGAATCACATCGGTCATTTCTGTCAAAAATGCGATCAAGACACCTAAAACCTGTCAAAACGTTTTTGAGACTTCCAAATAATGTTATCACAGCGGGTATGAAAAGTAAGCGATTTGTCAGGTTTTGTACCAAACGAACGGTATCTGATTACTAAAGTATTACGTTTGAAACCCCGAATTTTTTTTTTTTTTTTTTTTTTAATAATTACAAGCCCATTTAAGAATAACATTTATACATGTATACGTTATTGTTACTCTTTTAACGCTTAATTTGCAGTTCTTCATAAGCAAATACTTCAGAAATGTCTAGAAAGCAAATTAGAATGTGATAATGTCTGTGTATGTTATAAATCATCTGTATGTATCATGTGCCAATATTACTCATACTATTTAAAACCTACACGCAACACGTAGTTGAAGAACCTAAAAGCAATTGCCAATTAGCCCCATATACATATGTGGACAGTATCGTGTATATGTATGTATATTATCGTATGTTGGTCTATAACGGATATGGATGGCGATAACTTATTATACAGATACATCTATATGTGTCATATGCCAATATTACCTATACTATTAAAAATTGTACGCGATACGTAGTTGAAACCCCTAAAAAGCAATTGCCAATTAGCCTCCGGTTAGTATTTATTTTCTATCGAAAAAGTATTCTTTTGTGATGTAGATGTCTGAATTAATTCAAAGATTCCAATTACAGATATCCGTTTATATAATCACATACAATTTTTTTTTTTTTTTTTTTGCTTGATATTCTTTCAAATAACGATCTTCATTAAGTATTACGTACCAAAATATATAAATTAAATACATACGAGATTGTGAGTGTCTATATGTTATACAATCGTTTTGTACAATCCAATAGAACAGCAATATTTTGTGATCATAGTTTAGTTACATTAAACATGTCGTTCAATGTTATGTGGAATTATTTTTGTGATAATGAATAAAGTATCTAATTTGTTTTAAATTTGTGATTTCCTTTATTTCTTGCTTTCTTCATTTTTTCACACTGTTAAAGAGGAGACCCCTCCTGTAGAGAATGAAATCGTGCTACAAAGTACGGTTACAAAGGAAATATAAGCAACATTTCTTCACTGTTTCTATTTTATCCAGTCAACTGTTATACTATTTTTGTACTCGGTAAGTCATAGACAACAATATCTTTTTTACAAAGGACTAAGTCCTTTTCCTTGACCTCAAGCAGTACGCATTTTCTACTTCATTTATATTGTTCTTTCCCGATTCCAAAACAGATTCTTCTCTCTCGACATTTTCATGTCTTAGTTTGATTGGTTTGACCGAGAACTGTCGATGACACTGAGAACTAGAGAGTATACGTTGTAAAGAATCCGGCGCATTATTAATCCTTGGAGAATATTGTGTAGCTTTTTCACACGTCTCATTTTCAATGGTTGATGTACTCGCATCGCAATATCTTGTCTCACCAATGTTGAAGTGACTCTCCGTTCGAGATGATGATTCTGAAACCTTAATCTCTTTTGAATCATCTGATTTTAAAATATGTTTTTCAGGGACCTCGGAATGCGATTCCTTTAATGTATTATCAGACCCTTCAACCGGTGGTTGGGAACAGTTAAGTTCCGTTTGCGGGTTGTATCTGTCATACTCGAAGTCATAACTGCAATTTTCTACCACTCTTGTCAATATATCGTTCATGGCATTCTTTACCTCTTCGTCTTCACTTGGAAATAACACCTGTGGAAAAACAACTTGAATTTGATATAACTCAAACTTACTCTCAGTGGATCTGATTCATATTTCTATATTTTATGATACTTCTACACTCGATCACATTTGATAACACACTTTACACTGAAAATGTTTTGATAAAATTTACTAGATATTAGACAAAAACTTTTACCTTGCGTTTATATATTTCAAATTTAACACTAAATTTTTAGTAAAGCGCACTGGATCTCATTTCATAAAAGAAAACATACAATACCTCTTCTTCAACCTGATGTGTTCGTGATTCTGAAATGCAATAAAGTATCCTTTGAGAAAGGTAAAATATTTAATAAAGGTTAGTGTATGGATGTATTATCTGCCAACTGCAAATAACCACTGAGAATGATACAGATGAATCTTTATCAGAAGTTTAAGTGTCATTAAATACCTTCTTCGTGCTGAATGTCAAATTCATCTACCAACATCCATTCGTCCATTTTGTCCTGTTTTTCGAGTTCATGCATCTGAAAATGCGTACAATTACAGTAAAGACGTGCATGTAATTAGAACTACAAAGATTTTGATAACGTTTACATACACAATCAAAGCTACACATGTTAATTCTACACTTACCTCATCTAAGATCTCCATCATCCCATTTCCTTGTTTTGTGCTGTAGGAGAGAAAACTATATCAATATAAATATATCTATACTATGCAACTTTTAATTGCATTTCCCTGTATAATTTCGTCGTTCATTTTCACAAGTAGGTAGGGAAATCGCTGACCATTTACCAAAGGCATTTAAATGTCTTCATATAATAAGTCTTATCTATAGACAAGACAGGTCCGTCTTTTGTAAAAAAAAAAAAAAAAATATATATATATATATATATATATATATACATCGAAATATGATTTTCAGCGAGTTTATAACTATACCAACAAATGCATCAATCTGACTTAAAATCTAAAGTGAGTATCATATTCACAACTGTTTCTTATCAACTTCTTCCTCTTTTTCTGTTTGGTTTTCAACAATCTGAAATAGATAAAAATGTGCATATTTTTCAAAAACCAAAACCGGTATCTCATTTAAGAATATCGCACACAGAGGGATAAATCGATATTTCGTATTATCTTAAATGTGCGAAATAAAACAACAAATATGGAGTCAGCATATCAACAGAATCTTAGTTTAAACGCAAGTTCTATGAACTATGGCAAAATATGAAAAGAAGAAATATTTACACGGAAACTCCTTCAAAGGTACAAAGGAAATAAGACTGGGTATTTCTGAAGACTAAATGTCTTCTACTTCATCCACAAGACCTGACAAGTAAATCTTAGTCAATCCAAGTAAGAAATGTCCCGTTCCAAAATTACGACAGGGTTAAGAACAACGGAACAACTGGACATCGGGGGAAAATCTTTACAGTTTATGGTTTTAAAATTGCATCATTATACCACTTTTTACTATTCATTTGGAAAGTTAATTTGTAATTAACACGGATTTAAATGTCATAATACTATTAGGTGAATTTGATACAAAAAAAAAAAAAAAACCATTACACTGATAGAAGCCGATTCTTTAGGTGAATATTGATTGCTGGTTGTCTCTGGAAAAGAAGCCGTCTCTGATATTGATGCATGTTCCATTTTGAACCTATATAGAATAGGGCAAAACAATAAAAAAAACAACATTTTCAAGTTAGGCTCTATAGAAATCTTACTGACAGCTAATCATAAATAGGATATAAGAAAGTTAAATAGCGATACACAGAAACATCCAAAAATATAGCGATGATCATTAAACTAACAGCATTTAAGTTAAATCGTCTGATTGTGTCGTACTTGAATCTATTATTCCTTAAAAAGTGGACATATAAGTTTGATTGTAATACAACATTAACAAGTGTGTTGAAATCGTGAAATAATCGAGCAAGACTAAGCGTAGAGTCTCTCTAATTCAGTGTGACAATGAAGTTAACATTACAAATCTGTTACAAAATAACATGAAAACACTTAAAATCGTGTAATTTTTTTTCAAATCTCATTCAATAGTTCACGTTAATCAAATTTGAATACTCTGTAATTATCTTAAACGAAAAATGTTACGAATTTTCCAATTTTTTCGCTTTACTTTTTTAAAATCGAAGTGTTATATAGTCTATCAAATACTTTGACATTTCATCTGATTAACTTGTCACAATTGCTTTGAAGTTATGCCAGTAAATGACTTCCTTCATTGTAAGAGAACAAAATACCCTAAAAAAGAATTTCACAATGACAAAACCCACCTCTGATGGATAGTAGAACCTCTGAAATCGTTAAAAGTTGTCAAAAACGACTCCTGACTGCTAGGCAACATATGCATCCGATTAGGTGCCCAGTCGGTATCCTGCTGAACTGAAGGTTTATCGTGGTTTACAACAGATTGCAATTGCATCCTTGGTGTGAATTTATGTGATGGAGTTTGAAAGTTTGCTTCCTCCAAATATCTGGTTTGGTCTTTCACTTCATCCTTTTCCTTCACTGGATATTGAGAACTATAAAACTTCAGCTTTGGTGGTGTTTGAAACGGAAGATCATCTGACGACAATTCATCAACAAGTGGTGTTTGTATAAAGTCTTCTCCTTGAAAAACGTTAGATCTCAACTTCGAATCAATATTTGGTAGCCGTTCGACATCACTCATGTCTGAAAGTTCAATATTTTCACGTAAATGTCCTAATCCAAGTTTGGATATCCGATTTTCTTCGCTCCGATACTTCCTTACTGGTGTCATCTGAAAGTCCTCTGTGATGAACATGTTTTTTCCTAAGGGATTGACTGGTGTTGATTTAGAAACAAATGGTACAACATGTGCAGGGACGTATGTACCTGGATCACCAGATACCTTGCTTTGGTCCTGTGTTAAATTCATCCCGAGCAAATCAGTGGTAAAATTTTTATCCTTGGTGGAACAATAACTTTGACGGTATGGTTCAAAAGTAATTTTATGTTTTTTATTCGGCAGTCTAGAGTGCTTGAACATTTCGTCGGTTAATTTTCTATTCCATATTTTCCTTTCGTTATCGATCAAATCACCTTCAGTGCTGGTTGTTTGCGAACGCCTTGGTACGTCGGGTATCTATATAGCACAATTAGGAAGGCTGGACAATGTATTATCAAACAAATCATTCCAAGTTATCACCTAGAACCTAACTTGTTCAGGGTTTTCAAGAGGGACCTAAGACATGTAAATTCAAACTTCATCAACAACACTAACTGAACGTGAAATATGTGGTAAAGTCTATGTTTAATACTGTGTTAACAAAGCATTCTCATCATTTGTTATAGTATCACGATATAAACACTTCATTTCAGTAGTTCGTTATACAACTTTTTTAAAGTTAATTGTTTCGATACTTTACCTTGAACTTGCTTTGGCTGTATTTAAATTGCGTTGAAAGATGATGGCTCTCATCGCTTGCACCTAACCTGGAATATTTTTGACTTGGTTTAGGGAAAAACAAATCGCCATCATCTTGCGAACTTTTCACTTTCCTGTCGACTCTGCAATATTAACAAATTATATACAAGGAAATTAAATTAATTTCAAAGTAATAACACTTTTAACAACTATTCCCTGGTAGGCCATTCTCATCTCAGTCTTTATAGTCTTATTAATCATCTCAAGAAAGATAACTCTATGATGAAAAGCATATATACGCACTGTTTGTGATGACTTGCTTCCAAACGTTGCAACTTTGAAGGAGTTTTGATCGGCGAAGACGGACCCAAGTCAAGATCTGGACGGAACATTGAACTTTTGGATCTAAACTTGTCAAGATCTAGCACTTTCAGAGGTCGACGTGGCTGCTGAACTAAAAAACAAAAACTCCAGTTTTGACGCTGTTATATATCGCAGTTTTCGTGATATATTCTCAAATGAGTCCGGGTATTTTTTTATTCAAAAATTCCAACGTCCGACAATTTATGATAATCTTTCATTAAATATAAAACATGTCATTATCATATAACAATTATCGACTGAGATGTTTATAAGTTGTAGTATGGACTAGAGCATATATTAAGCTTATTAACCAATTCCTAAGAATATATTCAGTAAAATGTGTTATTATCCTTATCTAAAATCATTTCGTACTCACATGTAAAAGTATCCGAATGAATGCTTGAAATAGTCTGAATTGCTTTTAAATCTTCGCTATGCTTCCTGCTAGATGTTGTCACTTTGTGCCGATGAGCTGTCTTCGCATTAAATTTCTTTCTCTCGAAGAATTCCTAATGTAAGATATTTGTCAATTTAAGATTTTTTTTTTTTCATCATTAATTTGTGAAACATGTGTTGTTTTATAGGTATAACCTGCTATCCTGCAGGAAGAAATTGATTTCGAAAATAAGTGTAATTAAAGACAGCTGAAAATGCTCATTGTAAATCCTCGTGTCTGTAGGTGAACATCAATTGTAACTCCTGTAACCTTAGTGTCCGCGTGTGAAGACAGAAGGTAGATGTTGGATATTTCAAGTTTACCGAATGTTACGTATTTTCATAGGAGTTACAAAACTTGAAGTTACCTTTAAAATCGAAAACAAAACCAGACCTATGTTCCATTGAATGCATAGACACGGGAGTAGAAACCGTATCCGAATATGGGTAAAGTTGAAAGGGAACCGCATAGAAAATGAAGCCGGGTATATTTTCAACATTGAATATTGAACCGGGAAGTCGTGTAAACTGGAACCTAATAGAGATCACATTTACCGATTCATTGAAAGTTGACCCCAGAATATCATGACATATTTTGCTACGATGGAATATTAAGTTCCATATTCAACGTTAAAAATGGCCCTCACAATATTATGATATATTATCCATTTGGTAATAGGGGTTAATATTCAATTTTGAAAATGGGCCCCAAAATGTAATAGAACCCCACTAACTCATTTGAATGGACACTGGTTCCATATTTAAAGCTGAAATGTTTATTTTAATACAGATAAAAAGGATCCGTTTTGAAATTTGACTTGGAGATGTATCACAATCATTTGGTTCATTATTAATTATTCATATTCATTTCCAATGTTCTATAATACTATGTTTTCTTTGTTGCTTTCTGAGATTAGATATGATGACAGTTTTTTTCCTGTTGTGTTGAATATAGCTGTTATAACATTATTCTTCGCGTGTATCAGTCAAGGAACTTTAGCCAATTTCGATCTATCGCATATTTTGTGAAGGGATATAATATTGAAGGTTCCGTTGGAACAGAGGGCTGGCCGATATAGAGACACTTTCCTATGTATCTGAATTCCTACAATTTCGCTACTTAAACGAGATTTAATTTTCCGTGCGGATTTTAGTTTTTCGAGTCGAACTATGGCTATATTCCATAAGAAGTGTCCTGGTACACTATAATAAAGCTTTTAAAGCTTGAGACAAACTTTCACTATCTTGTTATGCAAGTTTTCTTTAATACAAAATGGATAGCGACACAACAAATGCACTAGCCTAGTTCTTCCTAATGCTAGGGAGGTCAGCTCAAAAAATGAACCACCTAGAAAACATTTTAAAACATGTTTTTTGGACAAAACTCAAAGAAAGAGGAATTTTGGTGCAAAAATTTTGGAAATCGGTTGAGCGGTTCAAAAGTTACATCAATTTTTGTACCTCGAAAAGCGACCCTTTTTCTGTTTTTGGCAAATAGTCCCTAAAAGAGGCATGTTTGAGGCCTTATATCTGAAAATGTGGTTATGATATGTATTGTCTGATTGTTGTAGGGTGCCAAGTTCCCCTTAGGCTTCAAAAAGAAACATTTACTTAGTTTAGGTGGGGACAGATAAAAAAAAAATTGGCAGCTGAACATGAGGAATTATTCGTTTGGACTTAGTTTTTTTGCGAAATGTGTCGGCACCCCTCTTTGCTAGACTACCACTTTTGAAGAACTTTATCTTAAAAAGTAATAACCCAATTTATCCAAATCTCCTTATTTTTACAGATCACAATGCATTTTCTTGAAAAAAAATTCCAGTTAGGGTTTAAGATCATTATTTTTTTTAATATTTTGATATCAAATACCCTGCGCAGCCCCTTTTTGAGACGAAATCAAAAATTTCAGAAAAAATGACTTTTTTGATGCAGAAAGCTCAAAAAAAATCTGGAATTTTTTTATATGGTGTTTCTTGTTGATCTTTGTATGTTTTATCAGAAAATATGTAATATTTCCCCTTAATTTTTTTTTTGAAAGCAACAGCTCCAAAATATAGCTGCCAAAGAGGTATATTTTTAGCCCCGAAAAGACGAAAAATAACATTTTTTCAGGACAAAAAGATCTTCAACTACTCCCAGGTGGTAATAAAATGACAATTTATATAAGAATGCTTATTTCTACATACAAATGATCAAGTTTTAACTCAAAACAACAATTTTTTGCAACATTTAAGATTGTTTTTCTACGTTTTGAAAATTTTGGATAAAACCTGAAATTTGTGTTTAATCATGAAATGCGAGAAGAATATAAACTATTGTATGGTGTATAAGGTATCATTTTAAAGATAGAAATATGTAGAATGCAACTAGCAAATATTTGTACCTCTATCTATTAACAGCACCAAGTATTTCTATAAAAACCTAGCCCTACCCCAAAATCAAACATTCTCAGAAGGTGAACCCAGCCCCCAATTTTTTTTTACTCCTACAAACAATATCATTTAAGAAAAAATGTTCCTGTTGACATTAGTTCACCTTTTATAAGCCTTAAGAGTTGAAACACGGTTATTCTTGTCTTTATAAGTTTATCCTTAAGATTAAGATAAAAGCACAAAAAATAGGTAAATCTGTCATTATCTAGCATAAGTTACTTTTAACATCAATGTTAAAATTTAACGGTCATAAAAATTGTTATCTAATTAATTCATTGATAGTGTTGAAAAAAAAAGTAAAAACAATCATCACATCCTTATCAAACTGCAAATAAAAAAGTGTATTGGATTGTAAATAAAACTTATCACACTTACCAAAAATAAAATGAAAATCAGTATATCAGAGCGTGTAAACAAACTAAAAAGAAAATAAATCAAAATAATTTTTTTTTTTTAGAAAAAGATTTATTTAGATTAAAAATTAAATAAAATAAATCACAATTATTATTCTTCCTCTGAAAAATTTGACAAATTAAAAAGGTAAAATAAAACTTAAATAAATAAAAGAGATTTTAAAAAGTGTCATAAATTAGCAAAACAATTAAAAATATAAAGAATTTCAACAAAATAAATAAAACAACTTTCTTTCACTTCAACAATACCCCCTTGCATTGATAAAGAAGGGCAGTTCTTACATTCAGAAGGAATTTAACAACCAAGATATAGACCAAAATCAACTTTCTGAGTTAAGAAGTATGGGCTAGTTGAGAGGGAGTATAATCATGATATTTGACAGAGAAAATTGTTTTCTCATCAAATGTTCATGCATTTATTTCATGGAAAATAATTTGTATTTGTGAAGTATGGTTCTGTGTTCAGAAAATGTTTTTTTTATACCCCCAAATATATTTTTCTTAACCACAGCAACTATCTCCGTTTTTTCTTTTGTTCTAAAACATACTTTTATATAAATCCTAAAGATAATCGAATGTTTCCTTTGATATTTAACATAAAACCCCAAAAATGTTCCGAATGGACATACTGATGTCATGAACGTGTCCCATTGGTCAATTTTGTTTACCGGGTCGGGAGGATTTGCACCCGGCCTGCAGCAGCAGCAAAGTTCGATAACTCATACGAACAAAACATTGTGGCAAAAGTCATTCAAATATCCAATGATTTCCGCTGGCTGCTCTTGTTATTTTGTTGAAACCTTGGTTACCAATCGCTAGAGGAAGGTCCAGGCTACCAAAATCCGAGTGATCCCTGTTCGCGGCGAAGTGATATCACGGTAAAAAAACACTGTTTTGCAAATTTATATTTTTTACAGTGTGATCCCTATACTTTTTCAAAAGAGATCACTCAGTTTCAAAAACTAGACTATATTTCCTAAATTTTAAGCCATTAATGGTAAAAATTGGTCCAGTAATAGCCAGCGGATTTAATTCTGAACTTGGCACACTTGTTGACACATAAATCAACATGGCGGCCGAATTTTTGGAAACGACTTCACTTCGAACTCCATGCAATGGTAGGAATTTATATCTTATTACAAAATGATTACCAAAATAGGAAAATATAAGTCTTGAACTTTATTTTGATATATTTTTATCCCCCAACTACGCTTATTTGATATTTTAATTTTAGTGTGAAAAACCCGAAAAAATGGGGTTTTTTGCTCCAACAGAACGTAATAAGCCTGTAA